TTAAATATTTTTTTATATAAATTAATTATAAAAAATATATAATTAATACAACCTTAAACCAAAAAACGAAGTGAGTTGAAGAAAACAGAGGTTAGTGAAATGGAAGAGAAATGGAGAGGAGGGAAGGCAAATTAACTGCACAGGAAAAGTAGAGCTACCTACCAAATCAGCACTAACTTAATTGCCACCACTCGTCTTTCTCACCAACTCGGTCAAATCCCCTTATACCCATTTTTTAAAACAAAGCAAAAGGACAGGGTCCCCAGGCCCCGAGTCGAATGCACCCTGTTCCATCCTCCCAGCCTCCCATTTATATTCCCTTCCCTCTTCTTTTCTCTGCTTAATTCCTCCTCCCCAAAATCCTCCATCCATATCCACTCAATAACATATATGGGCAGATCTCCTTGTTGTGAAAAAGAACACACCAACAAAGGTGCATGGACCAAAGAGGAAGATGAACGCCTCGTAAATTACATAAAAGTTCAAGGTGAAGGTTGCTGGAGATCTCTACCCAAAGCTGCCGGTCCGTTTTTCTCTTCTTTCTTTTTTTTTTTTTTTCATTTCATTTCTTTTATTTTGCGCTTTATATATGAAAAATTGATTGATTTGCTTCGGAAAAATATGTTTGCAGGTCTGCTTCGATGTGGGAAGAGTTGCAGACTGAGATGGATAAATTACTTAAGGCCTGATCTCAAGAGAGGAAACTTCACTGAAGAGGAAGATGACCTCATCATCAATCTTCACAGCTTACTCGGAAACAAGTATGTTCTTAATTAACTAATAGTAAATCTAGAAATCAATTATTTTTCAGGGTTTTATTATTTTTTTTTTTAAGAAAAGGAAATATTTCCTGTTTTCTTGTTTGCTTACAAAAAAAAGTTTTATATACATATATATATATATGTATATGTATATATATGCCTTAATGATTTTTGTTTTTATTTTCTCAGATGGTCTTTGATTGCTGCACGTTTACCAGGAAGAACTGACAATGAGATTAAAAACTATTGGAACACTCACATCAAGAGGAAGCTCTACAGCCGTGGAATTGACCCGCAGACTCACCGGCCACTCAATTCCACGGTCGCTGCAACCACCGCCACTGCCACCGCAGCAGGAAGCACTAACAAGAGAAGTACCCCTAATAACAGCCTTAGCAACAGTATCACCAGCAACTACAAAAGCAACAGTACTAATTTTCAGTTTGACATGCAAAATTCATTAACGCCACCGTTGAAGCCGGAGTTCCCGACCACCATACATTTCAGTACCCCTATCTACAATGAAAGGATTGGACCTGAATTTGCGGAGGATTCAAACAGTAGCAGTGGTGTCACGACAGAAGAAGTGTTCCCTCAGGTCATTAATCTTGAACTTTCCATCGGACTTCCATGTCATCAGGTGGCGCCTCAAGTTTCTCCCGGCAAAAAGCACAAGGCCAGCCAGAAGTTTCTGTTATTTCGAGCGACCAGCACACCTCCTGTTACTCCGGCGGTTCCCCTGTGCTTGTGTTGCAATATAGGGTTTCAAAAAAGCCAGGGATGAACTAGGTGCGGTAGTGCCACGTCGGTCACAGCTGACAGTGTCTATGGTTATTACTCGAAGATTTAGAAATACTTTCAATGAAAAATCTATGATGAATGTTGAAGCCTTGAAGGAACTGAGCCAAATAGACATGATAGACAGCTTTATAAGCATATGTCTCAAGTCCCAAACTTAGAAATTCCAGAAAAAATTGTCCTATAGTTTTTTCCTTAAATAATAAAAATAGATATAGTTTGTTTCAATTATGGGGTGTTATTTTTTTTTTTATATATATAAATATGCTTTTTGAAGTAATGTATGTACATATATATATATATGGAAGAAATTACCTTTTGGAGTAATATAATTAAAATATTTTTAAAGTCATTTTCTCAAAAATTTTTAATAGATTTGTATAAAAATTTATTTTCTAATAATATTGTAAAAAAATCAATAATTGAATTAAAAATTTTATTCATATAAATTATATATGTTAATTTTTAAATTATTTAATAGGATTAACCATTTCATTAATTATACAAAATTTAACACCATTAAATATATGTTAGTATATAAAGTTTTTTTATTAAAGGATTATAAATGTTAGATTAATATAAAAATTAATATGTTTGTATCTACATAAATAAAAACTTTCAATTCAACAATTAGTTTTTAAAACTATTAATTAAAATATATTTTTTTAGACAGATCCTCAAAAAAAAAAAAAAATTAGTAGATTGACATGGACATATTAACCCTAGATATATACATATATACATGTGAATTTTGTTAGTTAGTAATAATAATAAGAGGCATTTTAATATAAAAAAAGACCTTAAGCTTGTTATGAGCCTCTTCAATTTATCAAAAAAAATTAACAAATATATATATACACATACGCATATCAGTCTTGACTATTAAAAAAATTAGAGTTTCAATCTTAAATAATATTGTATTAATTAATTAAAACTCAATTCAAAATTAAAAAATCCATGTTATTTAATATTGATATTTTCTCAAGTTCATGCATAAATCGTATAATTATAAAAGGTAATCAAGTTTTTGAAACACTAAGTTCAACAATAAAAACTCATCGTGTGAAAAACTTTAATTAAAAGTATAAAAATTACAAAATTTATATTAAATTGATTAAGGTACATCACAACCCTAATTGGTTGAAAATTAGTTTATAATAAAAATAATGAAACTTGAAATCATAGTTATGAATATAAGAATATCAAATAATAAATAAAAATAATTTAAGAAAAAATAAAATCCAATTTTACAAAGTTGAAATTTTTTATCTATTATTGTCAATAAATTCCTTATTACCTTTTTAATGTTGATCTCCAAAAGTGCCTTAAAGAGTGTTGCCACCAACCTCCTCCAAGCCCCTTAATTCTAATCTTAATTGAGTATTTATAAAAGTATTGAAAACCTCAAAGAGGATGACTAAATGGTTAAAAGCATAAAATTTTAAATTAAAGATATTAAATTCAAATTTTAAGTCAGATGAGAAAAGATTTAAGGAAATAAAAAAACCATACCCTCTTATATAACCCATCATCATCTAACGTATTAAAAAAAAAAAAGTATAGAAAACCTAATTAGTATAAACATGGGATCCACACCGAAAAAAAAAAAAAAAAGCACGAGATGCGGACTTGCTGAAATTGCCCAAGGGAGCGACACTCTAAAGAAGGTGCCGACACCTTTACTAAATCAGTGATTGGCCCGAACTGCAATTTTAGTTCTTCATTGTAAAACTGTTCTGGTCGCTCATCTTTCACCAATTGACACTTTGATCCAAATAGTTCTGATTTCTGTGGTTTTGGTCCTAAATATTTCAATTTCTTTCAATTAAGTCTTTTTTACACAAAGAATGAAAATTATGTAAAATCATGTAAAATCACATAAAATCTTATAAAACTCAACTAATTATTAACAATAGCAAGGCAAGAATTTTACATTAATATATATGAAATTCCAACTTATCAAAAAACTCTCTAAAAGAGTTTTTCTTTGGATCAAAGAAAGAACATGATCGGGAAAGTTCAATTGGGAAGCTACATTTTGAGGGTGGAAAGGATCACCCATGGTTTACAAGCATAGTTTTAAAAATTAGATTGGACCGATCGGTCGGATTGATTAAATCGGTATCCAGTGCTATAAATGGTTTGGGTACATCTTTTAAACCATTTAAACGGTCAAATTACTTAAAACTGATAAGAATAGTTAAAACCGTTCAAACCGATAAATCATTCGACCGAACGGTTCATTGCTAGACATAAAATCTTGACAAACTTGTCTCCAACGAGTTTGATTGCCACAGAACAATGCATTGCTTGTGTCAATAGGTGCTTGAAATTTTATTTATCTAATAGAATTCAAAGCTTTTAACTAAATTATTGATGACAATCATGAGATTCGAACACTCATTCTCCATGTTATGGAACAAAGACTCTTTTACTTGAGGCGCAACCTTTTATTAGTAATATTTTGTTTTACAATATATTTATTCTATTTTTAAAACCACAATTATATTAAAGTTTGTTCTCAAAGGCACTTGAACTCATGATCTTTCGCACACAAAATCAACCATCTACCACTGCACCCAACGGATGCTATGTGAAATGTTTTGCATAATAATATAGTTATAGTATTTTGTCAACCCGATGGTTTTACCAATTAAACCATTCAAACCGTGAACCGAAGGTCAAAACGGTTTGACCTCTAATTCAGGTTTAAAAACATTGTTTACAAGGGAGAGAATAGATTTTGGCAAAAGCATTGGTTTTGAATTTTATTATAAGGGAATGATGTGAGACCAAACTCCTTATGACATAATTTGCTGAAATTTGTTTTATGGAAGTAATGTTGTAGATTTTGAATGAGATCTCCACAAGGTAATAGAAGAATGGAAGTTTCCAATGCTAGTCGATGGTTTTAACATTTGCACTGCTAAATGATTTTTTTTTTTAATTTTTTTGATATCTTGCACCACTAAATGCTAATATTTTCAATTACCTCTATATTTATTTTATTTCTCATGAATAGTACAAAGCAATTAAATGAAAAATTGTAGTACAGTTCAAACTGCATCAAATTACAAAACAGAGGCTCTTACCCAAATAACGAAAATAAAAAATTCCTCATAACAAGAACACTAGCACCAAACAAAATTATAATTGATTCTTCATCAAATTCATGTGCAGTTGGCGAGATTGTTCTCAATAACATTAATGAACTAATGAACTAAAGCTTGACGGACATGATTAAGCATATGTGTTAGGGGGTCAAGGGTTGCAATGACCTCCACTAAAGCTATCCCTCAAGTTCAAAGCTCTTACCTGATGCCACGGACAACAAATTCTTTACTTCAAGTCTTTTAACCTCAATATTCAATGACATGAGTAGATCCGTGTCTCAAATTCATTCCATTGTGGCAACACTTCAATCACAACTGTTTGCAACCCATTCTGCTCAACAACCACTCTATGGGGCCCTCCAACATCAGTAAAATTACTCCTCAGATCTAGCAAAACACTACATAGTCCCCTAGATTTATAATCTTCCAGAATCAGAATTAGATTATTGTATCCAAAACCACAGTTTTTTTTTTTTTTTTTATGAGCTCCAAAACCACAATTTTAACTTCTTTTGGAGTTGTTTAAATGGTTTCTTGATCAGTAAATATTATCATCTTAGATGTCATTTTTTTAGTGAGTCCAGGAAGTAGAATTGGAGAATAGCGGGTGCTTGCTATTATAATCTAGAGGGGTTGTTTTGGACGAAGTTCTTATGATGTAAGGCATGGGACCTCTTCAGTCAATGAAGTAGAATGCAAAATTGCTTCATATTATTGCCATAGCTGAGAGTAGGATCCACCACTCCGTGCCGCGGTTTTGGGCCCCTAAGCAATTTTGTTAATGGTGATAACTGTTCTAGTCTCTCAATTTCTACTTTATGCACTCTTTGATCCCAAAAACTTCAAATTACTTCAGTCAGGTCCTTAACTTCAACTTTCTCTCTTGCAGTTTAGTCCTTCAACTTTTGAATATTTGATGATGCACTCCTAAGGTTTCTAATTTCTTTTAATCCAATTCTTTTCTGTATAAACCATGAAAATCATATAAAATTCAATAAAATCACAATAAATTCATTCAAATATCAATAAAATTAAGGCTAACATATATGAGAATTCAACTTATCAAGCTCCCCCAAAAATAAGTTTTGTTCCTCATCCTCATGTAAAATAAAAAGAAACAAATAAAATAAAAATAAAACTTAACATACTTTCCTAAATATGACAATTGCACTTAATATGTGCAACTTGAACCCCTATAGGTCATCTTAGTTGACGAGTTGTGTCTTATGAAAGTTTTTAGTAAATCTACTAATCTACCTATAAAACCTCAAAGTTAAAATGCAACTAAAATGATATGAATGCAAAGAAAAATAAAAATTAAAGATTAATTAGATATAAAATCTCAAATATTCATGGATCTTCAATCACTCACCCAATGAATCATCAATCACTCACCCAATTTCAAGTCAAAATATCCTATCCTTTTAAAGTTGATACTCCATCTTATTTTTCACACAACTTATCAAAAGATTTAACTGCTGGGAACCTAGTGTGCATGAAAATTTGTTGTAAAACTTTTTGAGTTTAAATCTTCACAAGTTATAGCACTTTTTTTAAAACATATATATATATATTTTTGTGTCAAGTTCTTTTAGGCTTCTTAAGTTACCCATGTAACTAGCATTTTTCCAATGACTCCTAAACCAATTAGTTTTAGAGCACTAGGTGAAATGACACCCCCAAATTAAAGACATATTTACTCAAGTCACCAAAGGTACAAAACATTATGACTTGTTTTTTTAAGAGATGCTTAACTCTCTACTTTTTCATGTGAATGATGATGCTTGAACTAGGCACCATTACCCAATTATCACAAGGTTCATTAAACATTCTTCTATTTTTTTCACTTCTTTTTTTTTTTTTAATGTGCTTTTAGGTAGTACTAAGTCCTCTAAACTTTTTTTTTTTAAAGAAAAATGCAATGCAATTATGCGACTAAACTAAAATCGATACCTAAAGGCTAAAATTCAATTTCCTCCCTCCCCCAATGTTGATAACAAGAAATTGACAAACACAACTTATGAAACTGAAAAAGAAATCAAACAAGGATTAAATCCACAGCAACTTCCTACAACACCTTAAATCAATTATTACGAATTAAAAGTGACTAGACCAAATAAAACAACATCCAAGCCTATCGCAGTCCCAACCTCGAACAAAATCGGTTCTATATTTCAGCTGAATTTCCAATTACCAATAGATAAAGATTCAACATAAATGCACTATGCCAATAATAAGAGAAAATAAGTAAAGGAGAGAGATACTTCCCAAGTTTAACACCCAAAGATTTGCATTTGAGATTGTAGTTGAGGTTATTTCAATCTTGTTGAAGTTTGAAATTTGCCAAACTTTATACACCATGAGAATATTACAAGCATGTGTCATTAATGGTATCTTATTTACAATTTGAGTGTAAGTGATCTTTTGATTTTATATCGTTATTATTTTAAGTAAGAAGTTGAGCATTTTGGTTATGTTAAAAACAACCACTAGAAGGGGTTGCAAGTAATGCAATTAATATTAGATGCATCATGAATGACACAAGGATAATGAGTGAGTCAAGATAGCATTAATCTCTTTCGAATTTAATGAGAGAAGTTATCTTTAGATCCTTTGATTGAGATAAAACAACTTTCAAGTCTATGACTATAGCAAGAATGAAAGAATTTATTCAAGAAATCTATTTATCTTAAGAGTCAAGGAAAATACATTAAATTATAAAGATAATAACATGCTTCTTATTTGAACAAGATACCAATGGAAGAAATGATAGGTTTACACGCTAGACCCACGCACTCGATAACACACTCTAACTCAACTATTAAAAATATATTTTTAACCCACAGGTTTGCTTATCCCTTGCTTGTCTAGAATACCTTTTGCTGCCCCATGGGTCGTATTATAAAGTTATAGTTGTGAATGCTTCCACGATGTCAAAAGGGCTCTCCATTCAGATTGGACCCACGAATGAGAAGACTGGAACCGTTAATGCAATTCTAAATGCAATTCTAAAAGGGTTGGATGTGTTGAAGATGTGCAATTCAGTAGATAGTTTGGAGGGGAAGTTTGGCAATGACAGAACCAGTGTTGGATTGGGAACCAAGGGCACGGTAGAGGCAATTGGGTTCACCATGATGTTCGGCGCCTTTGTGGGTCTCGGTGTAATGGTTATCAAGTCGAAGAGAAGACTCCAAGATTGGCATGAGAAGAATAGCTTCTCCGCATGGCCGCTACCGATCCACGCCAGCTGCACCTGTTTCATGGCGAGCAGGACCTTAACCGAGCAAACAAAATTTGGGGTTCTATATTTCTGCTGCAAATGAGTATGTTTGGAATAGATATAATTATATAAAGGAAGGCAGTCTAAATGGCAACGAGTTTAAGCTATTTCAAGTCTAATTCTAAACAGTTGAATATTAATTTTTTAAAATAGTATGTAACACAGGGTGATGAATGTGCAATGATAAAAGAATTGAATTATACAAATATATCAATCATACAAAGATTTGTTAAAGCCATTGATATTCCTATCGACTTTAGTGTCCACGAGGCATTGCTAAATGTCATCATGTTTTATAAGGCACTTTATTACCAATGAGATAGAAATACATAGGGTCGCACACAATTCTACACCATATGAAATTGTAATTCATAGAATTCAAGCTTATATAAAATGAGTAATTTATGTGAAATAACATTTTTACAAGAAAAATAAATTAATTAAATATCATAAATAAATTGGTAGAGAGATTAAATCACTTATCTACTCTAAATTAATTCAAATTTGAACTTGTTCAAAATTGAGACCAGACCTGTCTCAAACCAGTTCGATTGAAAATTATAGTTGACTATTACATGAATCTATTAAGAACCAGTTTATAAGATACCCAGGCTGAATACTTAATAAATAAAATCTGGATTGAATTAGAATACTTTTAAAACTGTAAAACACATTTACATGCAATGGAATCTATTTTTCTTAAAAAAATGGCTATATTTCAGCGAATTGCCATTACAACTCTGCCGAGCGAGCATCATAGTATTCGTGAAGACCATAGCCGAAAAGCCTGCCTGTTGAAACTACACATTTGAAGAGAACACGAGAATTCTCACCAAAGATCGTTACAAAAATAAATAAATCCCATGGCAAATCTCAACTTTTCTTCCCCTTGAAAATTAAGTACCACCGACAGATGTTCCTGAAGATTCAGCAACATCTTCTGGTCTCCATGTTATGGCCATTTCTTCAATCATCTTACCTCTATCTGCATCTCCATCCACAGCACTGTTCAGCCTTTTCAACCAGATATCATAGTCAACTGGGTATGGGGTTCCGCAAAGGCTATCCACATAATCAGCAAATGCCTTCAGTAGAGGAGAAACTTCACCTAGATGCTGCTGAATGGAACGGTTTGCCCAACTTCTCTCCCTCCACAGCAAAGCAGATTCAATAGAATCCTGTTCCTGCATTGCTCCTCCAGAAATGAAATAGAGGAGGTAAACAAGACTCTCAGCATCAGAGGAGGGACATAGTTTCCCATGCTGTAGTGCATGAGATGATGAGAATTGCAAATTTATGGCAGGGCTGTCCCTATCTTCCAAGACAGCACGTCCCCATGAAGTCAGAATGTAATGAAATTTGTTTCTTGTTCCTTGTGATTCAACAACACGTGTTATGTTTTCGGGACAAATATCTCCATGCTGGACATTGGCTGTTGCTGCACTGCTTAGAGCAGTAAGGCAGTTTCTGCAGCAGTGCAGTGCCTCCACAGGGGAAAACGGGCCATCTCTGGAAATTATGTATGAAAGTGGTTCCCCAACTGGAGATGTCACGAGTATTGGTGTTCCGCACCAGGGGTGATCACATCGTCCACTTGGAATCTGCCTTTTACAAGGACCAGAATGCAAAATTCGGCCTGAGGCAATTATTTCAGGCAAATATTTGCTCAAAATTCCCTGCTGCTTCAATGTGTTTAACACTTTTGTTTGCCTCTGCACTTGATACCACAAACTCATGTCCTCCCAAGATGGTTCAAGTCTAGAAGGATGAGCACCAACATACAAAGTCAAAACCCCTATGGGATGTTCTAAACAAATAGCAGCATAGAGAAGGCAGTTCCCTCCAATCAAGGACTCCTGTATTTGGAAACGTTTAAGACCCTCCCTTTGATCCTCTAACAGAAGAACCTCACCCTGCTTAAGTTTCAAGCGTGATGCATTCTTCCGAAAATATGGATTATCACTCTTATCGAGTTCAACAATTTCTCCATTCTGATGGCTAACATGTTCGGAGGGGACTAGAGCATTTTCATTGTCAGCTAAGTTCCATTCTATCCTACGCTTTTGAAGACGAAGACTGTGTTCTGAGGCCAATGAGGCTATTGACTTTCTTGGAGGTCCACAGTACTGGACAATGGAATAGAAAGTAGCCAAGATTACTTGCAAAGTTCCCAGGTCCCCCCAACTTGCATTTCCAAGCTTATTCCATATTCGGTCTACTGAAGAAATGCTGACTTCTGCATGACATTTTATCCATTCAGCAACAGACTGGTAAGGATTAGTTGAGTTGAATTTAAGTCTGCTAAGATCACCTCCAACTTTCACCACAGCACCAAATTTGGAATCAAAAACCAAGAGAAAAACGGAATCACTCACAATGGAACTGGACTTTCCCAGACTCCGTGAAATAAGTATATGAACACCATAAAATAAGGCTTCACAGATACTGCTAGGAGACAGAATCATCTCATTTCCTGACAGCATATCAGATTTAAATAAAGCTAACTCCAACACTTGACCCCAATGAACTTTTAAATCATTCTCAGTTTTGGACATTAAAGCTAAACCATGGATCTCATTTAGCCTTCCCCTTGATATTACCTTCTCTAAAGAATAAAACTTGGATCCAGGATGACGGGAACAAGACAAAAAGAATGGTAATGGTCCACTTTTACGCCAAAAGGTACGCCACAGGCCACTTACAACAGCATGGAGAAAATCTTCAAAAGCAAAATACTCATCTTCTTCCAAACCTTGACAAACATAAGATGAACATGGCATACGACACAGCTGCTGGAATGAAACTCCTTCCAATGCTAAATCAAGTTTTCGCAGTTCATCAATCTGAAACGGTGACATGAAAGACTCCTCCCCTGTAGTAGGATCAGCACAATAATTTTCCAAAACCCAATCTTTAAGACCCTGTGTAAATAATTCTTGGTCAAGAAATCTCTTTCCAAAGTCCTTCAACCCCTTGTAGACCCTTCTTGAAGTAGGAAAGTACTTGCTTGAAACTGAAATTCCAGACACACTGTGAGCAGAGATAACTGCATCAAATCACAACCACACATTATTAATGATTCTAGATTGTTTGTGGATAAATTCCATAAAAGTCTACTCACTTGGCAATTGCAGGAATGCTAAATGCATTACTAAGAAAAAGTAGGAGAATGACAGTTAAACCCATTTCTGATTTAATGCATAGAGCTATAAATCGTCTGACAAATGTATATTACTACAAAACTACTGATGGTTACAGAATAATGAAATCTTAAAAAGGTGATTTCCATAAATAATTAATAAGCATGAGGTATCACAATAACCTTTGTTTGGTTACTGGTAAGTAGGCTCTTTATTTCTACCTGTGCTTCATGTGCTTGCAGTATTTTTGTTTGATTACTAGTGCGTATCCAAGGTCAGATTTGCCTTTTTCACCTTAACAAGAAACTGCATTTTTACTAAGTTTAGCAATACAAGAAGTCTTACCCCAATTTTTTTTGTTTTCCTTTTTTTTCTCCTGTAAAAGAGAAAAGCATCATGTCAAGAAGCTAGGAGATCTCAAACCAACCTTAGCTAACCCCAGGTGACAACTTATCGCAGCCTTTTACATCAGCTAAATTCATCATGTTTAACTTTGAGATGCAGAAGGAAATTATGTATATATTAGGATTTCATTATAATTATTAGGGGCATTTAGGAGATAAGTTGGGATAAGAACTAATCTAGTAGGTTTAATATTATGTTTACTAGTATATTCAATAAAGATTTCTATAAGGAGTCACATAAGGATTAAGACTAGGTTGTATTAGGGTTATTCAGAGTTGTTGAATATGAATTATCTTCCAAATCCCTATTTCTGCCATTCTCTTCTCACCCCTGCCTCTGTTTCTAAATTCTCACCTCACCTTGGCTTCTGCTCTATATCACTGTCTTATATGGCAGAGTTCTGTCAAAAAGTATATACTTTTTTTCTCTGAGTTCACTTTCAAAGGCCATTTTGACATTCTCCTGGCATCAATTCCTTCAGCATCAACGGCTGCATTAATTAGTGGTAATTGAAACTATATGATTTTTGAGCAGAAGCTTGTGCAAGGGTTTATTGTTAAAGGTTAAGGTTGATAAGATTGGGAATCAGATGCCTCAAAAGTGGTAATTGTGGGATGTGCATAAAGCTTGAATGGTTTGAAAGTTTTTACAAGAAATGGATGGTGGAGAGGACACAAAGATAGAATATCTTGCACAATGATTCAGAAAACATGAATTGACTGTTTTGATCCCCATGAGTGGCCCACAACAAATATTCTCTGGAAGAAGAAAGTGATGATGCTTCTACCTTACTTGCAACTGGAGACAAGCATCAGACCCATAACCTTGCCATTGACCACATCATTCAAGGATAATTAACCAGAAAAAGGGAAGTAGCATCAGGGGATCAAAAGATATATAATAAATAGTAAGACAGCACCTGCCTCAGACATTCACCCCCCTCCCCCCAAAATATTTAAAAAAAAAAATCCCTTATTTTACTATTCTTGGCTGGAGAAACTTTAGATATAAAAGAATCTAAAACTGAGAAAATCAGTGCTGATAAACATCTAAACTTTTTTATTTCCCTTTTGATTACGATGATGAATAATCCAAAATAAACTAAAAAAAATATCCAAAATAAACTAATGTTTAAAACCATTTTACCTTCTGCTTCTGTTTTCCAAACTAGAGATGCTCCACGCCCAGACAAATAGAATGTCACAGGGTAAATACAACCAGACTGTGGCCTTAAACATTAGTTTATTTTGAGTATTCATCCTCATAATCAACAAGAATTTTAATTCTATGCCAAATGAATCAATTTTCTATGAAAAAGACTTAAAATAGTATGAAAAGATATGTTGTTGAACAATGCCTAACTCATTATCTGACAAGTGCAAACTAGAAAGAGGAAGACAAAAAATAGTCCTAGCCTTTGCACAATAAATGGAGAAAAATTAACTAGCTCAAAAGAACGTCAAAAGCAGGAGGTTTGGCTGGTAGTACAAACCAGAGTTGGACTTCCTAAAACTTCCATCCAAGCTTTGCCCTGGAAAAGAGTCCAAATCATTTTGCTGGAAACCTGAACCAATTTTGTTAATAAAATCACAGAAAGAATTAGAAAGAATCCATTTAGAAGTCAACACTGAAATATTTTCAGTCTAAAATAGTTTTAGTTTATCAACTCATGCTAGTGGCCAGTTACATTTATTGAATCAATTGCCACATTTAACCTTTTTCCCTTATCATTTAACTTAAATTGCAAGAGAAGGATAGGATTGCCACTCCAAGATGTGTAAATAAGGCAGAAAAGAATAACTTTAGTCTAAAGTATTATAGTTTCTTGTCCAAAAAAATGCAAGCAACTAATGTAAAGAAACAAGGCCTGAAAGGAAATTTTGTGCAAACATCAAATTCAGTAATCGTAAATGTCAAATACATAACACTGATGTTTTAGCTTTAAACTTAAAAAAACTTAAAAAAGAAAAATAATCAAGCAATTGAGGCTAGTTTCATAAATGATGAAAATAACATTCTGGGTTTCAATATTCCTATCACACAAAGCATCAGACATGCAACTGATATTTAAATAAAAAAATTAAATGAAGCTAATATATTGACCAACAGATTAAAGAAGAACCAATATAACTTGAGAAGTGCTGGAAAGTAGAAGTAGAAGTCAGGAATGAGGACTAACCAGAAGTAAACTTCCTGAAACTTCCCTTTGAACTTTGCCTGGAGGGTGAGTCCAAATCATTTTGATGAGAACCTGAGTCATACTAATTTTCAGACTTTTGTAAAAGGTTTTTCAAAACGTTGAGTCATGCTAACATAAATTGCTAGTACAGCAGGATAAAGATACATCATTTTATCTTAAACTTGAAAGGAGAATAAGAAAAAAAATTAACCTGAAATCATGTTTCAAATAAATTATAGTTCTAATGACAAGTAAATAGGGAATCACTGCTTAACAAGATCTTCACAATTAACTACAAGCTTTGAGAAACTGAAACCAAAGACTTTGAAAAACAACCAAAACTATAATAATTCTACCCAGAAATAACATTCCTTTTTGAAATAAGGGGCATTAAAACATGGAAGAAGAGATAGAGGGAGAGGGTTAGGGGTTCAAATGGATCAAACCCTGGTCAAATGGGTGGAACACCCATGCTATGGGCCAGGATTAGCTCATTAGCAATAACATTATTTACACAGAATATGATAGCTAAAACTAAGTTTGCCCTTTTTTTCTAAACTTGAAACCTCAACTTCAGTACAAAATTTCCCCCCTATGAACTGCTGGTAACAAGGTGGATCAGGTGGCCTGTGAACCGAGGACAAGATAAGGTATAAACTATAAACCTGACCCCAGAAGGATGTTTTGCCTAGAATTGTAAATTATCTAAGTTTTTCTGACCAGTGTTTACAAATAAAGGATCTTCAGGATAACAATAACATATTCCCAACACAACATGTGGAATAGTGAAATTACAAACAGGATGTTAGACTGATTTTCTGCTTTGTTGATCAAAGAATCATGCGCTAGCATACCCTTTCTCAAATATGCATCACAGAACATGCCTTCCATAAGCAAGAGATGCACTAGAATAGCTATGTTTCACATTCATAAAACAGAATAAATCAAGGATGTTAGAACAAACAGCACAAGCTGATGATATCTAACTGGTTGCAGTTTAATAACAAATTCATAGCAGAAAAAGGTATATCTAGTTGTCTAGTTGTCTAGTTATATGATGGTCCTACACAAATGTTTCAAATTACTCATCATCATTTATTATGCTTTATATTCTGTCACAGGATTAACAGAACAAACAAGAATAGTATCATGCTAGACTTTTTTAAAAAATAAAAATTATAAAATACAAATTAAATTACAGAAGCTGTTGAACTAAACTGCTGACTATTGAAGGCTTAAGCCACCAAACCAGAAACCCAACTGCAATCATGAATTGGATTTTCACATTCACATCACTCCTATCAACTAAAGCAAATTGACCAGCAACAAAACCCACAAAAAATCAGATCAAATCTGTTACTCTTTGCCTCTTGTATTCCATTGTAAGGTAACAAATTTGACACTAATCTCACTCAACATCTAAAAAAGAAAAAAAAAAAAAAAATCTTTTACTTCTATATCATGGGCATAACTAATCTACAACAAAGCCAACGCTCCAACGGCACAAAGCATAACCCACATTAAGCAAATAAAACTTTTTCTATGACAAACCCACAAGAAGAAACAACCATTTTCTTCAAAATGCATTGCAGAAAGACTTACCAAATTTCATGGCGAAAACTTGTACTGAGAATCTGAAACTGTGGATGGGGAGATATCTTGGGAATGCAGAGATGGCATTATTCAATGCAAAGACTTCAATGTGACAATATGATGATTGGAACCACTAAGCATTGGGAAAATGTGTAGCAATAATGAAAAGGGAAAGTGGGTAAAGAGAGAGAGATGAAGAGATCTAGATGCATTGATTATCCATTAAAACATCTTCACTCAATAAAAAGGAAAGCAACCCTGAAGTAATGAGTTTGTTATTCCTTCTTCTTAACCATGAAGTAAGAGTGTGATATTTATCAATTTATGGGTGCAGAGAAAGTGCAGAGTGAAAAGAGGAAAAGAAAAATGGGAAAGGAGAGAAGGGAGCGAGGAAGGAAGAAAGAAACAAGGGAGTCTTCCAAAAGAGAAAAGGCTGATGAGAGGGTAGGAGGCCAGATTGGGGTGTGGGGAGGTGGCCTACTTCCTTTGGCCCCACATCTAATTGGCAGTTGGTCCCACTAATAATATCCATCAGTTTTCCCATTCGCTTTCTTGTCACGCGTTCAAAGTGAAAAATCATACTTAATACAAAACCAAAAGTGGGCAAATGCTCTAATCCGTTCCTCATCTTTTTATAATGTTTTGATTTCATCCCTAACGTCTCATTTATCACAAATTAATAACAGAAAAGTAAAAATGAGAATGTTCTAACATTAAAAATATCAAAAAGTTTAATCTCAACCACATAATAAATAGGACTTACATAAAACTTATATTATATCTCACTTATCATATGATTTTAATTAAATGTCCTAATTTTTTTTAATATCAAGACATCTTAATTTTTTACATTCTCAATGAGTAAATAATTTCTATTTTTTGTGATCAAATTAATTCACCATAAAAGTACATGTGTCGTCAAGTGGGCTTAACCTCATGTGCCACCCTCCAACTTGTCATTATTCTGGGTTTTAGCCCCTCAATATACAATGCAAGTTATTTAACTTCTAAATTACTCATATATTTAACAATTACCTCAAAACTGATAGCAGACGAGTACATGACTCGTCTGCTTGTGTCTGCTCGTTAACTTATGCCTACTCTTGAGATTTTCAATGGAATTCAATAGTTGAGAGTGGTAAAAGAACATTGAAAGTTGAGAAAATTGACTTAGAAAGTTGACAGTTCGATTACAAATTTTTTGTTATGAAGTTTGTTTTTATTTTTAGGTCACTAAGTAAAGATTAGGCCCCATTCAAAGTGAAGGACGGAAGTTTTATGGCCCTTATCGATCCAAGTTGGACAATTTTTATTCCAGCATGGCAATGTCATGGTAATAATATAAATTAACAAGCAAAGACAAGCATATGAGTCATGTGCTCGTCTGCCATCAATTTTGAGTCAATTGTCAAAGATACAAGTAGTTCAAGGGTTAAATAACTTACATTGTATATTGAGAAGCCAAAACCCACAATAACGACAAGTTGGAGGGTGGCACAGGGGCTAAGCTCTCGTCAAGTCAATCCTTGAAGCAGCCTTAGTAGGTCAAATGAGTTACCCTCAATGCTACGAACTTGGAAATTCTAATGGTATGTTATTTTATTTCCAAATGACTTTGAATTCATAAGTAAATGAATTCTTATAATTTAAATAAAAATAGAATTTTTATATGTTTCAAAAAATGAATTCCTAAGATAATTCATTTTGAAGTTTATTTGTAAATAATTTTTATATTTGAAATAATTTATAAAATTATATAATTCAATTATATAGAATTGAGTTAGTTTTAAATATTGCATCTACTAGTAAGCAAATATTGTTTATAATTCGAATTTAAAGTTTAACTTTTGAGAGTAACACTTAGAGAAATTATACTGTGTCAATGTGAGGTTGAGTTCTTAAAATCTCTCAAAAAGAAATTAATTAATCTTTGAAAATGTAAAAGCTAACTGTAAATACCAATACAGATATATAATTGAGTTTAATATTAATTTTTCTTTAAAAAAACCTTATAAAATTTTCCAATACAGGGGCAGTGATAAATCACCAATTCAACCTAATGGCCCTAGTGGTAAGCAGTGGCGAATTAATGCTCTGTAGGCTCCTCTAATGCATACAGTCCCTTGCTTAAGTCAATTTGAGGCCAAATGATGTGCATTAGCTTCCCTGTATATATGAGTTATCATAAATTCTCAATCCCTTTCAGTCAATTAACTTGCTTCCCGTATTCAATCCTTCCATCTCCGAGTCAACCACGCAAAAGGGCCTGGTGGCTTGTATTGTAAACTCTTACTAACTGTGAAATTTAGAGCATGGTGCGTTAAGTAATTAAAAACTTTGAATTTAAAATTGAAGATTTTGAATTTTAATTTTAAGGTAAGTGGAGATGGATTAAAGATAATAAAGTGTTATATTTTATTATATAATTTATCATTTAAAATCTAAAAGGATAATTATATATGGTAAAAGTTTTAATTTGAGAAGTATTTTAATAATATAAATGGTTATCTCATTAAAACGAGGAGTTGATTTTTAGATTCCATAAAAATATATAGATAAAAGTTGAATTAGCCTAAAGTAATTTCATAATTTAAATGTTTAAAATTAAATTTTAATTTTTTAATTAAACCGAATGTAAGAGGTGTAGGATTGGAAATGAATTTTACAAATTTTTTACAACAAGAGGGTAGAATTCAAATAGCGAATCATGCAAATCACCCCTGAACATGTTGATAGATGTTAAATAAGCCTCTCAACTGCAGAAACAAGCTAACCCTTCAACTTGCATCAAGTGGCAAATCAGCCCTTCTCCCATGACGTTAAATTTAACTTTTGCTTTCAGTTGACATGACATTTTAGTCCTTGAACTTAACATTTTTTGGATCTTTTAGTCCTTGAATTTATTGTTGTTGTGAAAACAACTTCTGTTCTTATATTGCCAAATTTTTTAATTCTTCAAAAGCTAATGCTTTACAAACTTTATAAACATATTTTTCCCATGGTAACTCATCAGTTCTATAGGGAATCATTCCCTCTTCTACTATTAGCTCCATTATAAAGTTGATTTGATTGTCATAAAATTTTACAAGCTTTCTTAATTCCATTCTTAGCAACATTGTTTTATGGCTCTAATACCAAATATTTTTAAGGGCTTTTCGGAACCTAATTTAAACTACAAACTAATGTGTAACTGATATGTTAAGTTCAATAAGTGTGAAATCAGATCTATTAAACTGCTAAAAGAGATAATCTTTGCTCAGCTTTTCTGAGTCTTTTTAGATCTTTGTTTAAATATGCTACTGTTTGCTTTAACTTTTTGAGATTCTTGAAGAGATGCAATCATCTATATCTTCAATATTACTTATTTTTTCTAAAATATTCACTATTTTATTTTTAAAATATTTGTATTGCTACTCATAAATTACTTTATCTACAACTATTTCTTGGATGAAGTCAAGCATTTTAAAGTATTACAATTAGGCTTTTAGGATGAGCTTTTCTATTTGAAATATAAAAGGTCAGGTACTATTTTCCTATTATTTATAATCTCAAAAAAAAATAATGTCACAAGATAATAATAGTGTTTCTATGCCCACCAAGCTTCCACATGATAAAAAAAAATAAGCTAAGACTATACCTGAAAATCTCTTAATTTAACCTTTGGTCTAGCTAGTGCTTCCTTCGTTCAACTCTCAATGCTCACAGGTATTCAAATAGGACAAGAGACCTCACTGCTACTGAAGTATCTTCAAGGATTCTTCTCATTGTTTTTTATGATGGAAATCAAGAAGGATAGAAGCACTAGAATTATCTTAAAACATATTTTTATTCCTAAAAAGAGAAAGGGAAGGTCCCCTTTCCTCTTAAAGGGTGTTTATAGATGCATGGTAGAAGGAACTTAGGTAAGGTATTTGGCTATTCAAATGCCCATACCTATAACAACTTATAGGAGGCTTTTTATAGCACTCCTTAGAATCTTTTCTTTCGTCATTGCTGATGTTTAAAAGTTTACATTATTGTCTGGTAAACCAGACTTACACCTTGCTTTTACTAAAACTGATTACATGGAATCTTATGAATGTTTTTCTTTTGCTTCAATTATATAAGAGCCTTTGTCCTTTTGCATTGGATTCTTTAGAGGATGATGAGATTCCTCTTTATTGTCTGAGGGGATAATTCCTCCTTTACGTGCTGCTTCAGCCTTTTCTTTTGTAGATTCTTTTTTGTAGCAGAAACCATAGTGATTGTTGTGCTTTAACAGCTTACATAGTCTATTATGGACTACTTTATTGGCTGGAACTAGATTTTCAAAGATTTCCTTTCTTTTCTACTTTATTTTGAATAGACTAATGCTTGTCATTAATCTTGCACCAGTGGATACTACTGAGATTTCTTTGGAAAAGCCATATGACCATGTCTTCCTCATCTCTATCATTCTATCAAAGGAGTAAAACCTTGAATCCTAGTGCTCATCTTTCTTAGATAAACTTAATCCCACAAAGAGACTCTTCAAAGTCTTGGGAAATTTGATCTTCATTTGCTTCAACATTGACTTTCTTGGACTAAATTCCTATTTGAACTATATGATGATTGGAGAAATATTGAGATTTCTCCCATTCTGGTGCTATAAAATAGATTTTGACAAATACTACCCCTTGAGCTCTGGTGCTAGTCTTGAAGTCTTTCACTCCTTGGCGTATAACTTCTAGAAGTTTTGAAACCTCTTCATTATTCTTTGAGAGATAAATACAGTTTACAAAACCGTAATTGAATAATTCTTTTATTGCTTTTGGGTTTGCACCTTGTATGAAATTAATTCTAGGATAAATCCTTTCATGGATAGGATGGCAATTCTTGGTAGGCCTTATCAAATATGCCATTCTACAGACTCCGCGATAATCCTACAGATATTTTTCACTCATTGTCATTTGTGATAAGGTGTCTATTATTATAACTTTGTTTTCTTTCTTTCTTCAATAATCAGGTCAAAAGTTATGGTTTTCAGCATTTGAATAGTTGACTTTTCAGCTTGAGACGCTGATGTATCTGGGGGATGGTATTTGACATAATAATCAAATTTCCCTAAACTTTCTCCAAGTAATCCTACTAAAGAATCACCTTGTTCAAAATTTTCTTTTAGCTCTTCTTGGGAGCTTTTCTTTGCCATCTGGCTAGATTCTTTAGAGCTGATTCCGACAGTAGTAATTACTTCGGAACTTATTAATTTTTCTAACAGCTCTTTGACTTCTTCAAGGGCATCTTGTCCCTTAGTTAATAACTCATGGCCTTTAATAATTTTTTCTTAGCCTTCATCCATAAGGTTATGGCCTTCATCAATTATCTCTTGGCCTTCAATCATTTTTTCTTGGCCTTCTCTTATCTGGTTATTGCCTTCAATGAGTATCTCTTGACCTTTGAGAATAAGGTTC